TTTTTTTGGTTTTTCTCCGGTACCGGGAACCGAACTCACGACCTTGCGCTTGCCAGGCAGGCGCTTTTGCCACTGAGCTAAATTCCCAGCCCCTATACTCACAGTTCTTAAGGCATCTAGTCTCACACCAGACTGCCAGTGACACCATATCTAGAATGCCTACTGCACATGCTTGTTATACAGTACAAGTCATCTTGTTCTCTCTAGGGAAGGGTTATACTCACAGGCTCGGTTCCGGGTTCTATAGGTGCAAGTATACAGACTGCAGGGTCTCACCGGCATGGATCTGGGAACCGGGACCCTCCTCCACAGCCATTTGCAGGGGGACCCTTGCCGAATAACTCTCAGGCTGTTCAGCATCATCATCCTCAGCTTGAAATCCTGATCAGCTGCCAAATAATGCACAGGAACCTAAAACCCTAGAGGGAGGAGGGCAGAGGAGGAAAAGCCATAAACAATAGAGATTGAAAATCATGTGAAACCCTCTAAGTAGGACAACATTCAGACTGGCAGTTCACACCCTGACGTGGGGGGAGGGCAAAGGAGCGTCAATAGTTTATTCAGCGCTGTTCTGCAAACCCATTGGTCCCGCCGTGAAAGGCAGGGGCCAGAGTACTGACTCATACAATTTGTCTTTCCCTCGGGGTTGGCAAATATTACAGGCCTGGAGAAAACATCTTCGTCCACATGAATAAAAAGATTGTTTAGGGTACAGTTTCTTAAAATTTAAAAAATAATTTACTCTCTAAAATCCCAATTAATTATTCAGCATGGTAAATACCATGGAGTAGGAAAAAAAAAAAAAAAAAACCCAATGATTAAAACTCCTTCCAGGCAGCTTAAATAAAAAGAATTGTCTGCTTCTGGATTGGCTTAAAAAAAAGTAAGCCCAAGATACAACCTGCCAAAATAATCATGGGTGGTTTTGAAATCTAAGCTTAAATATAACCTGTGACTCCATCTCTCTCTCCCTCTCCATTGCTGACACATTCACTGTGACTCAGAAGATGATGCTTTCTGAGGTATTCACTGTGGGGTCCAGAAATCCTGGGGTTATTAACTTTGTACCCTTCTCTCCTTCCTGTCCCCCACACTTGCTCCAATATTGCTTCATCCATTTTTCCTGACAACTCCTCACCCTGTACAAGAGAACAAGCAAGTTCTGAAATTAAAAACACCAGTTTTTTTCTTGACTTTACATTCACTTCACTGTAGATGTTGACGTGTCCCATGTGATTACCTGAGATGCATTCAGATAGCTGTTTGGGACACCATTTGAGCAACCACACCTGACACGGCTGCCCTGGCCCCACCGAGAACTCAATCTCCTGTTTCCTTCTGTTTTTCTTTTAACAGTACTAGGGATTAAACCCAACGAGCACTGAGCACTGAGCTACAGCCCCAGCTCTGTTTTGATTTTTATTTTTTGCTTTGAGACAGGATCTTGCTAAGTTGCCCAGGCTAACCTCAGACTTGGTATCCTCCTGCCTCAGCTTTGCCAGTAGCTGGGATTACAGGCCCACACCACCGGGCTGGCTGTCTTCTGTCCATTTGTGCTCTTGACTGCCCACCAGCCATGTGGAGTCCATTTCTCCAACTCCTGATGCCCCTCCAGCCTGTGCAGACGCTCTTCCTTCCGTGACCAGTCTCCCCGTACCCGTGCCTGGCTAACTCTGACCTACCTCTCATCCATAAGCCCAGCACCCTCTTTTGGGTGAGAGTGTTTATCAAAGTTGACCGAAGTGCCTGCCTGATCAGGAGTGTAATTACCGCCCCGTCTTCCCCAGCACCCAAGCCCCACAGGGGAGGGACTGTGTCTGTCTCAGTCTCGGCTGCATCTCTTCGGACACAGCGCTGGTATATGATGGCTGGTCCAGGTGTACTGACCTGAGCAGGTCTTCCTTGTGATGGAAAAGATGTTGATCCTAATTTCAAAAACTGAGTGCTGGGATATGACTGCCTGCATGTTCTAGGACAGTACTGAGTCTTTTCTTTTCTCAGATGCTACCATTACCCATTTGTAGGGTTGTTTGTTTTCTTACGTTTTTATTTTGTGTGTGTGTGGTATTGATGATTGAACCCAGGGCGTCAGCCATGCTAATTAAGCACTCTACCACTCCGCTACAGCCTTAGCCCTGTATTTTATTTCACTTACTTTTATTGAGTGCTGAGGATCCCAGGGCCTCATCTATGCTAAGGGAAGTGCTCTACTACTGAGCTACAGCCCCAGCCCAAGTAGATTGTTTATATTTCTTGATATATTTTAAAATATGTGTCCTTTAAGAGGAGAATCTCACATCTGTACTGATAAGACCTGAAGGGCCCACAAAGTCTTGCCTGATTTCAATCAGACCCTGAGTAGGAAGCTAACCTAGTATCAAAAGGATGGGAATCCTCCCAGTACACATTTTCATTCCAACATTTATTACTGTTTCCTTGGTTAGGCACTGTGCTGAATGTTGCGATTCTAAAATGACCAAGGTCATAGAATGGAATGAAGCCCTGGTACGTGCTATAATGTGATGAACTTCCAAAACATGATGCTAAAATGAAAGAAGCCGTGCACAAAGGTCATGCATTCATTTCTGGCACCACTACCACTACTTATTAAGCAAGACTAGAAGAACAGGCAATCACCATCTGCTTTTGTTGCTCAGAGAAATTGTAGAGAAGACAACTATTTTTAAAGGCAATGGTTTGTCTCACCTTTCTACCTCAAGGGAAATCTAGGCCAAAATGGAAGAGCCTTGGACTTGCGAACTGATGTGAAATACAGAACCTCTGTTGAGTTTTGAGTGTTTTGAAGACTGAAAAATCTTGCTCAGCGTGGGTGACCACCACAAAGCAATCTAAAGCCATCTACCTGTGACAAATGAGACAAATTGGGGAGTTTGTTGTCTATTGGAAAGTAAAATGCATTGTCCTGAAGAAAAGCAGGAAGGCGTATGAAATACTTAGGATAGGAAAACCTGCAGGGACAGAAGGCAGACTGGTGGTTGGTAGGTCAGGAGGGAAAGGGGAAATGGGAACTTCTTAGTGAACACAGGGTCCCTTTAAGTGGTGCAAATGTTTGGGAACTCCATCGAGGTGGTGGTTGCACAACACTGTGAAGACTCTAAAAGTCACTGAATTGTTTTAGTTTAAAAAGTTAATTTTATGTTATGTGACTGCTACCCCAGTGTTTCTATTTTTTAACCATTTCTACTCTGCTACAAAGAAGGGTAAAAATTTGGGCGTGGTGGCGCATGCCTGTAATCCCAGCACTCAGGAGGCTGAGGCAGGAGGATCGTTGCGAGTTCAAGACCAACCTGGGCTACAAAGTGAGTCCAAGGCCTGCCTGAACTGCATAGTGAGACCCTGTCTCAGAAAGACAAAAAAAAAAAAAGAAGGATAAACTTGAGTCATCTGTAGGAAAACGGATGCACCTTGAGACCATAATGTTAAGTGAAATAAATCAGACACACCAGCTTAAACATTGCATCGTTTCTCTGACATAAGAAACTCAAAGCATAAATACATTAAAGAACAAAATAAAAGATAGATAGTAGGAAACAAGGAGGTAGATTTTTTGCAAAAGGAAGGGGATCAAGAGCTAGGGATTTAGCTCAGTGGCACAGCGCCTGCCTAACAAAAACGAGGTCGTGAGTTTGATTCCTGGTACCGAAGGGAAAAAAAAAAAGGATCAAGAAATGCAGGGAGGGAGGACGGTGAGGGGAAGAGGAATGAAAGGAACTAAGATGTGTTATGTACATGGACCAGCTCTGCACAATGAATGGAGCCATTATATACTACAGGCATGAATAAAAACAAAAATAAAAAACTAAATAAATAAATAAAAAGATGAGCAAGGAGACACAGCAAAATGGCCCACAGCAGTCTGTTGAAGCCCCCTCAGATTCTGCCTGCTGCAGAAGGAAGACCCTCAGCAGTTTGGCCTTCATGGGGGACGGGAAGGCACAAAAAGAGAAATACAGAGCACACTAAACATGCTTTTCACTTCCAGTCTCGAACCCTTCTTCTCAAGAGGAGTGCAAGTTCTAACAATAACAACAAAAACCCACATGTGGGGGCTGGGGATTTAGCTCAGCGGCACAGCATCTGCCTGGCAAGCGCAAGGTCACGAGTTCGATTCCTGGTACCAGAAACAAACAAACAAACAAAAAACCCACATGTGGTCCTCATCGATGCAGAGTGATTAACAGTAAGATGCTGTGAATTGCCTGTGACCTGGCTCTCCTCTGTGCTACTGTCCTGACCCTGCTTCTCCTGAGCTAGAGAGGAGAGAAGACTCCTCCTATGTGAAAGGAGAGAAAATCACACCTGAAAAGGCATGTTCAGTGAAAACAAGAAGCAGAATTACTTCCTATCACTAGCTCCAAAGAAAAATCAACGGTTCTGGGCAGAACTCTGCCTGGCTATCATCAAGCCCTCTTCCCACATAAGTACGGTACCATTCTTTCAGCTGGTCCTCTGCACTTTAGGTAGCTATGGCTTAGCGAATGCATGCCTTGGACTTGGGCAGGTGGTGATGTGCAGGCATCACGTGATAGACCAGTAGGAAGTTCGTGCATCCCACAGAGGGTCTTCAAGCCAGTGACATCTAAAGTGTGTCTATGTTGCCCAAAAAAGGTGTCTGAAACTCTCAAAGTTAAAGTTCATTTTGTTTGTAGTCTTGTGTGTGTTTGTGTATATACATCTTTGGGGAGAGTGTGTATATGTCAAAATATACCTGATTTAGGATACGCAAAAGTTTCAAACCTTCAAGAGATTATCTTGATAGTGTTTTGAACAAATAGGAGCACCTTCTTTTCTTTTTTTTGTGTGTGTGTGTAGTATCGGGAATCGAACTCCTGACCTTGCAGTTGCTAGGCAGGTGCTTGCGCCACTGAGCTACATCCCCGGCCAAGAGTACCTTATTTTCCAATGCCTTCCATAGCTGAACTGAGTGAGCAGCTGTACAGAGTAATAGACCTTCAGCAGTTTGCTTCCTTTTTAGTAACTTTTTGTTATGGAAAACTTCAAACTTACACAAATAAAACCAGTCCTGTGTATCTGCAGTTTCTGCATCTGTGGATTTGGATGTAGTCAACTGTAGATCAAAGATATTTGAAAAAAAGTGTATGACGAACATGTACAGCCCTTTTGGCTTATGGTTTCTTCCTAAACAATATAACAACTGTTTACAGACCATAGGTGTCACCTCAGTAAACCAGAGGGAATTTATACTATATGCAAAACTGTACATAGTTATTTTCAGCTTGAACTTTACAAAACTTAAATTTATTTTCTACAGAAACATCACATTTTACTTATTTATGGGATACCATGTGACACTTAGATGCATGTATATATTGTGACTATGCCATTTCATAGAAAGAACTTTAATATCTAAGGATTGTGCTATCCTCAGGGATCCTAA